ATCTGGACGTTTAGTCGTCCCAGGACCGTGCTTTTTTTTTATACCGTGTTGGGGGTGGATAAACGCGAGGATGTGCGATAGACTTCGGGTTCTCCTCCATCCTTGTAGACGGTGGTCACGGTATTGGTATGCGTGATGCCAGCAATACGGCGCCCCACGGACCGTTGACGGGCATCTTCGGCCAACAGGTCCATCTGGCGTCGCAATTCGTCTTGATTCATGCGCGCTCGTCGTCGAGGAGGGGTGCCGCGACCACGCCCCCGGCCACGGCCACGACGACCCCCGCCGCCACCGCCGCCGCCGCCACCTCCGGGCGGACCTCCATCGTCGTCACCCCCGCCCCCTCCGGGAGGCACCCCGCCGCGTCCCCGGCCTCGACCTCGCCCTCGCCCTCGCCCTCGCGGTGCCCGGGGCGGTGAAGGGGACCGGGGAGTGGCGGGACGGTTCATGACATAGTCGCGTAATTGGTCCTTGGTGAGACCCGCGGCCCTCAACATGCCCTCGATCTGCCCAGGTCGAAAATTCCCTCGGGCAATCCGTTCCATGACATCGAGTTGTTGGGTGGTGAGCGCGGGCGTCGGGGAGCGTACGGGGGACGGGGGGCGTGCGGCCATGTAATCGGCCAATCGGTTGGTGTCGAGCCCCACCGAGTCCAACAGGGTATCGATTTGATCTTCGGGTACCTCGTTTCGAAGAATCTGTTCCATGACCCCAATTTGGCGGGGACTGAACGTGGGCGACGGCAAGTCCCGGGCCGCGGTCCGGATGGCCGCCACGCTGGGTCCGTCCGAACTCGGGGACGACAGATTGGGCGCGACGCCTACCCCGGCCGGCGGGGCCGTGGGAATCCCCGAGAGGTCCATGGCCCGTTGCAAGGCATCCCGTACCCCCGTCGGCGTGACGAGGGGGGACCGTCCCACACCCACCGCCAAAGGGGTGGTGTGCCCTTCCAGACGTTCCGATAAGTCCCGTTGCCGTCCTCCTTGGCGACTCCGCGCTTGTCGCGCCTGTTCTCGCGCCAGTTCATTCTCCCAAGTCAACACGTCGAAATCCAGATCGTCCCGAAACTCGTCGGACGAGGGGGTGGTCCGTCGACTCATGCTTGGCGTTCATAGGTCTCCGTCGGTCCTTCCTCCGGTAACACGTTGGTGAAGAGTCGGTACCGATCGTCTGACGCGGGATGCAGGTCCAGCATTAAATAGCCAAAGGGGCGTTGCGTGCATTCGCGAAAAATGTTCATCACGTGTGACCAGTCGTTGGGAAAGGCTTGCAGGGTCAACGTGCGCATGCCCACTTGATCCCGCGGGTTCTTGAACGCCACGATGTAATGGGCATTGCGCGAAATGGTCTTGGCGAATTTCCCGGGCGGGAAGAGATCCTGGCATAAGAACAAGACGCTAATGTTCCGATGATGCGAGTGCTTGGAAAAGAGATCCAACACGCGTTTGTCGTTGGCGCCTTCGTCCATGAGATCGTCCAAGACCAAGAGCCCTCCTTGCGTAGGACCGAACCATTGGTCCAATTCCTCCGAGGTGGGCAGTCCTTCGTGAAACTGCACCTTCTCTCGTTTCATCTCGTCAAAGGCCGGTTGCCAGGCCCCGTAACAATAATGTTTGACCCGAGGCGGGGGGTGCATCAGTTCGTCGGCATGGCGTAACAACCCGCGCGTCCACGTCGATTTCCCGCACCCCGACGGACCGCCCACCAGCGTGTTGCAGGGATGACGAATCATGATGTCACCATGGCGTACAATCGCGGCGAGGCCTCTTTTATCAGGGTCCGCATGGACTCGACCACGGCGGTTTCCGGGCACGCGTCCAAGGCCCGAGCCAACCCCACCCAATCGCTGGCCCAGACCAATCGACGAAAGGTGCGATAGTGGCCATAGTCCCAGGTGTCGCACAACGCGTCCACGGGGTTCAGTAACAGTTCCATGCACAGACGTTCGTCCAAGGCTTCCAGGACACGTTGCTTATCTTGGCGCGTAATCATGCTCAAAAAAAATCACGTCGCCGCGAGCGCACCGGTTGTTTTATGGAGCGCCCGCGACGACGTGGCGTGGACCCTATCGGACTCGAACCGATGACCTACGGCTTGCAAAGCCGCTGCTCTACCCCTGAGCTAAGAGCCCCTTGATTGAGTACGGGGCACCCCCGCGGCCAGACTCGGTCAACTCAGTCCCAGGGTAGCACTATTTGGCAACACCGGACGTGCCCACCACCGGTCGGGAGAGAACCCTTGGGGAATCGGACCGACCGCTCGCGCGGAAGCCCCCCGCACCCATGCCCTTCTGGCCCCCAATCCCCTTGATATACCCGTCCCTGGTCGTCGTCTTTCCCTTGTGGGACCCACACAAAACACACCTCGAACAAAGGGTTAAGACTCGTTTAATGAAGACAATACACAACGTCGAGAGAGACAGCGTTGAGTGTCCGGTCCATCGGGTTCGTCCATGGTGGCTTCGTCCAGTTTGGTCTGGATCCAAGCCCGGACGCGTTCCCCCACACGATGATCGTTCCACACGTAATCGCCGTCTCGAAAACTTTCCACATACTCCAGCAGGGTCCGTCCACGCACGCGGTCTTGCAGGTAAGTAAAGGCATAGTGACCACAGGCCCGACTGTCGTAGGCTTGTAGGGTCCTGTCGCTACGCACCACATACTTCCAATGCTGGGCGATCCATTCGTGCAAGCCTGGGGCGCCGTAGACGGTCAACGGCAAGCCGTAACTGTCCATCACTTCGCACACCCCCTGGTCCGTCCAGAGCGCCAACCAATGCTGGCCCGGGTCGCCGGCCGGGTCCGTGTTGACGATGTAGGCGCCTCGGGTGGTCTTGGGCGGACGCTCGGGCAATCGATCGGAGGGATAGACGCCTTGGAACACGCGCTTCAACTCGGGGTCGGAGAGGGCCAAGGCTCTCAATTGACGATCACTCAACGCGACCAGTTCCATGGTTCAACTACGTCCATGGGGTCCTTTACACTTTGTTATCATACGTCACGGCGCCCAGGTGATCGATGTAAATGACACTTTCAAATTCGCCCCACACCAAGATGGTCATGTTGGTGTTCAGGGCCGCTCGGAACTTGATTTCCAGCCGCACGTTGCCGGTCTGCTTGGGATTGAGTTTGGGGCCATCGGCGTTCCCGCTGGGCACGTTGTTCCACATGTACAGGGTACAATTCTTGTTGTGCCCCCAATCGCCCGGTTTGACCATAAACTCGCGATGTTTGGCCACGGACCCGGCCGCGTCCAAGAAGCGACGATAGCCTTCCCAATCTTTCAGGGTATTATTGCCGGCGAATTCCAGGGTGACGTACGGGTACTCTTCTCCCTCGATAAACTGTCGAATGGACGTCACCCCTTTGCTCTGGAAAGAAAACGGGTACTTTTCTTTGGTCCCATTGAACGCCGTGCTGTCCAAGATCCCCACGATCATGCGTTGGGGGACCCTCCCCAGAAAGAGGTTATCTTCCATCCACACGGTGGTGGCCCCGTTGAACGAGAACGTACGGATCTGATCACTCACCACCGGGTACTTGACCACCTGTTTGCTGAGCTTGCGTTGCCGTTCCAGGGCCCCGTAGACATCCGGGTTGAGATTCAATCGGCACAAATGCAAGGTGATGTCCACATCTTCTTCTCGCAACCGAACGTAGCTCTTGACGCCGGTGCCACTGGTCAGGGTCGCAAAGGTGTAGAAATCGGGACTGTGAAAGTGGAACTCAAAATTCATTTCCACCCCGGGTACCATGACCTTGCCGGTATGGAACATGGGCAGGTACGGTCGCATGATCAACCGGACCACGTTGTTGCCATAGAAAGGGACCGTCAAAGTCTTGAGCAGGTGACTGTTGCCGTGTCCATACCCATTCGTGGTGCAGATGTCGTCGTTAACCCCCGCGGCGGCCAACGTCGGGGTCACGTTCAAGAAATTGACCCAACCTTGAGGGGCCAGCAAGGTCTCCCCATCGTCCTGGCTGTAGTTGAGCAGGGTCTGGAGATAGGCCGAGTAGGCGTAGGTGTCGGTCTGTTCGGTCATCAGGGTGCCATTGAACCGCACGTTGATCTGCTTGAAGATGGTGTGGACCAAGTTGTTGACGGCGTACGTGAACTTGGTGTTGTTGGCATTCGAGGCCGCATTTTCATCGGCCACGATGCCGTTCTGACCCGCCGTGGACAAACGCAAGTCGACGACGAAATAACTGCGATTCAAATCCACGTAATCTTCCAAGGCCTGCACCGAGAACTTCATGGGGGTGATGCTGGCGCTCAATTTGTGGTAGGGTACCATTTTGTAGCCCTGCAAATCATAGTCGGTCGACGGGACCGAGAAAAGGTCGAGACTGCTCATGATGCCGAGGACGACGACGAGTGCGTCTCCATCTCAGCGGCGTCGCCGTTTTATACGTCTCCTGGACGACAACCATTGGGTCAGGTCGTACGCCGGCGGCTTGCGAAAGCCAGGACCGAGCCATCCTCCGCGCTGACCTCGACGTTGTCGGGCCAACAACCATTTGGTCAAGTCGTACGCGGGCGGTTTGCGCACGTGTGGACTGATCCATCCTCCTCGTTGTCGTCCAAACGGCGAGGGCACGCTCCGTTGATAGCGAGGCCGGGATTGTACCACCAACCGTCGTGGACGCGTCATCTCTTACACACCCAGCACGTCGCGAATGCGTCCGACCGTGTTCCGAACCCCTTTCTTGGCGGTCGAGGCGGCCGATCTCTTGGCGACCGTGGCAGCAATGGGGAGAGCCTTGCGTTTCAACCCTCTTTTGATCTCTTGGCCAGCCGCCCGTGCCACCCCGCGCCACGACTGCCCTTGAGCCCCCGCCCGCGCCCCGGCTTGGACGGCCGTGGCCAGAATCGGGCCGCCCCAACGATAGAGATCCTCTCGAAGTCCTCGTCCATCCTGCGGTGGCAGGGGTGGTGGCTGGTACCGCGTCAGACTGCCTCCCCACATGATGTGATACGTTCCCCCGAGGCACGCGCCTTTTTTATACGTCGCGTTGGAACACGAAGGTGACCAGGGTGCGTCCCGTGCCGAACTGGACCAACCCTCCGTGACTCTCGGCGATTTGCACCTCCACGAGGTCCATGTACTCGCGCCGACACGGTAACCATTGAATGTGCAAGGGTTCAAAGTAGGCCACGCCCTGGCCTAGGCGCCGGTACTCCACTTCGCGCACCAGCGCATGTTGTTGGCCCCCGACGATATTGCTGTCCACCAGGTCCGAGTAGACCAGGAAGGTGCGCGAGGGTTCCCCCACCACGTTTCGGAACGCGACGTTCAAGTTGGTGAAGTGCCAATTGAGGCACTGACTCAACTGCAAGAGACCCCCTTCCATTTTCCAAAGGTCGTGCCGGTCGAGCTCCGTGTTCTTGATGTCTTTGTAATAATTCCCCGTCTTCTGCGTCTTGTAGGGGAGTTCGTAACGGAGATTGGGTCCCAAGGCGTACGTGTCCTTTTTCGTCTCCACCAACCACCCCATCAACTTGGCCATGCTCACGTGGACGTACCATTCCACGAACGCCGAGCCGGTCGTCAACGCAATGTCGTTCAAGTCCTTGGCCAGCATGCGCAGGTCCTCGCCGTCCCAGTCGTACGTGACCCGAAACCGGTCGTAGAGTCGTTTCCCCTTGGCTTGCGCTTCTTTCGTCTCGTAAAACTGCGATTTTCGTATAAGGACTTTCATCAGACTCACCCCATCCACCACGCCGGGATCGTGCAAGATATCCCTGATCTGCATGGTGACCCGATGGTGGACCGGGCCCGGGTCCGTCAAATTGTCCGCCAACTTGCAACCTACGATGAGCACACGTGGGTTGACGGCATTCGTGAGTCTCGACAAGTCCAAGTTGGCGTCCGGGGTGGAGATGGCCGCCAGCCCCACTTTCCATCCTTCCCCCTTCAATTCCAACGGCACGGGCAGGCGCACTTTGAACGAACTGGTGGTGTTGGTGGCAAACTCTTTGGTCGGATCACTGACCAACACGATCCGATTCATGCCTGGAAATGCAACGTCACTTGCGTCTCACCCGCCGGGTTCAAGGTCATCAACTGACCGTTCGTCTCGGCCACTTCCACTTCCAGAATCTCCAGCGTGTCTCCACGCACCCGGTGATACTGTACGTGTTCCGGTTCCCACCGGATGGGTTGGTCTTTATAGGGGAGGTCTCGCAAGAAGTTCGTGATCTGCGTGCCCACGATGCTGCTTTCCCCCACGTTGCAATACAGGTGCACCGGACGCGTGGCCGGCTCCCCGTGCGTCGCGGGCGTCACCGTGGTCTTTTTCTGTTTGTCTTGACTCCCCGTATGCGTGGGCTTGCTGGTCGTTTCGGTGGTGCTGCTGGTCGACGTGGTGGTGGTGTCTCGTCGAATGACCGGATGAGCGTCGTACACGTCGTCGACTTGACTCAGGGGTGGCCACGGCGCCCCGATGGTGTACCCGTAGACCACCACGTAACATTGATCCGTCAACGTGGCCGGGTACGAGGTGGGCACGTCGGCGATGGTCACCGTGACGTGCAGCCGGGACGAATGGTCCGACTGGGCCGTCAGCCGAAAATCTTGCACGAGGCGATGGTAATACACCATGTGCGTGCCCAGGTATTCGTGCACGTGCGTCGTCACCGCCGAATCGATATTGCGCGTGTAGAAACTCGTGTAGGCACTCACACTCGTCTTGTCGAACAAGACCTTGTCGGTCGTGTAGATCTCGACGATGATTCGATACGTGAGTCCCCTTTTCAGCTTGGTGGTGCCGATGGTCCAACGAAACTTGGGTTCGTACTTGTTGCCGCTTTTCGTCAACGTCATGCCCATGGTCTTCTTCTTCCAATAATGGGGGGAGCCTTCCAGATTGACAAACCCCAAGGACTTAATCCCCGCCTCTTTCGTCCACACGCTCTCGTCCTCCATGATCCATCGGAAATGATTCCACAGGACCTTGGGAGGCACGTACACGTGCGTGGTGGCCCGCGCATAGGCTTCGTCCAAATTCACAAACTGCCAATCCATTACCATGGACAGATACACCATGCCTCGGTTCACCTGCACGTAATCCGTAAAGTCCACCAATTGATTGGTATCCGCGGACGCCGCGATCTTCGGGTTCTTGGGTTGGCTCAACAGGGGATGCATCAACAAATTGGGTCCCAGCGCATACGCCCCGTCCTCTGTTTTCACCACCCATCCCATTTGTTGGGCCAACACCAGATTGAACCCCAGGTAAGGGCGCGATTTATTGAACGACACATTCGTCTTGGCATTCAGGATCCAGAACGTCGGCACCCCCGCCTCGTCCTTCCATTCGTAGCGAGGCGCATAATCCACCGAAGCGGTACTCAAGTTATACCCGGTATAGAGTTTCTTCATCGTATCTTGTCGCAACCAACGGAACACTTTTTTCATAAACACCACCCCCGTGGCGGCTTCGGGCATGTCGGCGTCTTCCATGGTACTGGTGATCTCTTGGGTCCTGGTATTATCGACTATCTTGATGGCACGGGAATACATGCGCACCAATTTCTGGTTTTCCGATCCCCTGAACAAATTGGATTGTCGATGTTCCGTGAGAGGCGCCACCGGCGCGGTGGGGGTGGACGTCACGGGATGCGACGTCACCCCATGCGACACCGTGTTGGGGGGTCCGGGTAAGTAGACCCCAGCCACACCCACGTGCCAATTCTTGACGCGTAACGGGTACGGCAATCGCACCTTGAACGAGGCCGGGGTATTGTGGGGAAACTCCGGCTTGCTGGTGTTACTCAGCAGCGTGACGTACAGCGACCGACTCGACGGTTCCATCTCTCGCGTGTGGTCCTGTCGGGTCGGCACCTCCTTTTTTATAGGAACGTCGCCAATTTACGCTTGGATCCGGGTACCCGGCCTACGGTGCTATGCAAACTGGAACGTTTGGGCCAGACTTTTAAGGTATGATCGGCCTGGGGAAAGGCTTGCACCAATCGGCGCAAGGTCGTGTCCAAACTGACGCTCTTCCCGCGCTTGACCATGCCTCGCAATTTAGCCCGGAACGCACGCTGAGCCTTCTTGGAGGGTCGCTTCTTCTTGACCCTCTTGACCTTCTTCTTCCTCCGGACCTTCTTCTTCTTCCTCTTTCCCTTCTTGGGGCCGTACTTGGTCTCCAACCGTTCCATCATCTCCATCCAGGTCTTTTGGCTAGGGAGCGGGGTACTCTGCCTACGCCCAAACGGCGCCGCCAACGGTCCCGCCACGGGGGCGGGCATCAAGGCGACTCGACGACCCGGTGGTTGTTTCTTGGGTGGGGACCGTAGGGCACCCCGTTTCTTGGCATACTCTTCCGCACGATGGTAAGCATTGGCGTAGGCCCATTGCTCCTTGGTAGGACTGGCCCACTTGTCCCACCACGGACGACTCATTTTAGGGAGGCCAGACTACGTTTGGGGATCCAACTGTCGTATTTGTTCGGCCAGCCTTTCCAACGCACCTTGACCTCGTGGCGTCGACGCTGTAACACTTTTTCCACGCGAAACAGCGCGTCGTCCGGCACGTCGACCTTCTGCACGTCTTGCTCGTAAAAGGTGCCTTTGACGGGCGTCCCGTCCCACTCCTTGATTTTATAGGTAGCCACGGGGCCCGGCACGGCCCGGTCGATGAGAAACACCTCTTCGGTCCACCCGGGCAGATAGCCTTTCTCGAACGGACGGTGTTGTTTTTGCAACCGCACACGATCCCCGGCTTTCCATTTAGGGCGCACGCGACGCGCCAGACGATGGCCGTACAACCGTTGCCACACTTGGCGTTGGTTGGCCCACGTCACGTCACGAGGGGCCATGCCGATACTACGGTGTTTGGTCACGTTGTAGCCCTGCACCAACGCGGGTAACGCGTCCACGTACCGGTACGTGTTGCGAGCGGTAAAGTACCGGTACATGCGTTCTTTCAAGGTGCGATTGAATCGTTCCACCACCGACGCTTTGGTATCCCCGTACGTCGAGAAATGATGAATCTTGCGACGCGTCATCAGGGCCTGGAACGTACGGTTGTAAAACTCTTTGCCGGCATCCGTCTGCAATCGCACGGGGTGGCGTCCTCGGGCGCGTTTCAGGATCCGGTCGAACGCCGCGGCCACGGCCACGCCCGTCTTGCTCTTCAACGGTTCCACCCACGCGTACTTGGACAAGACATCGATCACCGTCAACAAATAGCGCATCCCCCGATTCCATTTTTTCAACGGTTGCATCTCCACCAGGTCGGCGACCCATTGGTCGTCCATGCCATGTACCACCACCGGTAAGGTCGGGAACCGGCGTCGTCGCGGTTTCTGCAAGGTGTAACTCAACAACCCTTGCAATTTCGCCCGGGCACGCGACACCGGCACGCCGTGCGCTTGCGCCAAACGCGCGACACCCCCCAAACTCCCGCGCAACGAGGGCGTTTCGTAGGCGTCCGCCCAATTCACGCGGCGCTTCTTCCTCATTGTCGCACGCGCAATAACGACCAGACACAAGGGTCTCTGTCTTATTTTTTTATTGGTGTACACTATCACGGCGTGGCTGCCACCAGGCATTGTCTAAGGGTGCCCGACGGATCTCGTTCAATCGCTCCAGCTCGTCGGCGGTAAAGACACTGCCGCGCCACACTTTGGGTTTCCCCTCCAACCAATGCTCGCGCAATTCTCTCAGGACCCGTGGACTCTCGGGATGATGCCCGTCTTCCCCCTCGTACCGGGCGTACGCCAACAGCAACACTTGACGACGGGCGTCCGGCGTGCTGGCCCCTTGATACTCCTCCCAAGCACCGTGCATCCAGGGGCGATACCGCAGTCCCTCCAAAATACCCGGGGAGGTCAGGGTGTTGTACCCATTGTCGGCCATCATGAACCCCTTGGTCGCCGACCCGTCCACGCCCCGCATGCGGGCGGCCAAGCAGTCTCGTTTGGCCCTGGGGAGGTGGGGGCTGCTGCTCCAGTCTTCGCCACGGACGCGACGACGCATCTTGCCCGACAACGGCAGGTTCAACCACAGGAAACAGCGACAGTGGCCGTCGCGACAGGTCAGGTACATGCGCTGTGGGTTCTTCTCCGACCCGCTCTTGCGCAGCGATAACCGTCGATCGCAAAAACACGTCAGGTCATCCCATCGTTGACGCAATTCCTCGAGCAACTGTTGGGTCACCAGCGTCATCCATTCGTCCACGCGGTCTTGGGGACTGAACACGGGACACGTGTCGCGCGGGCAGTACACATAGACAAACTCGTCCTTACGACCCTCGGCCAAAGTCTCCTCCGGATGCAACGGGCACATCCACACCCCGGGTCGGTCCACGGGCGCGTACGGGACGGGCTCCGTCTGCGTGGCCTGATCCATCTCGTTCAAGAACCAGGCGGCCAACTCGCCTTCCTCCAAGACCTCCGTCTTGTCTTCCAACGCCTCCTCCGCTCGACGTTTCTGGCCTTTGGCACGACCGGCCGGCACGGGCGCCGGACGCGTAGGGTGTCTCGTACAAGCCGCCATGATGAAACAAGGCCGCACGAGGTGCCCCGCGCCGTTTTATACGCCCGGTCGATCACGTGTCCCCATGACGTCCCCCTTGCCTTATAAGGGCCCAACTCTCCGTGAGTGGTCAGGTCGGGCTCCGCCCCCCACGTGCTCACCTCGTGCTCACTCCATAAAAACCTCTCTGTCCCCGAATCCAGGCCAGTCATGCAAAAAGGCCCCGTGTCACGACCAGCCAGGCGACGAAGGAGAAAACGTCGTTCGCTCGGCACCATGCCCAACCTGCAAGACTACACGGTCTACACCCCCGACAACCAAATCGCCGACTTGGCCGACCACCACGGCATGACCGTTCACCTCCTCGAAGGTCCGACCCAGCACGTGCTCCGCGATGCCCACACCGTGTACCTCTTTGGGTCGTACACCCCCTTACGCGACATGGACGAGACCGGCCGCGTGACCGAACTCGCCTCGTCTTTGGGTAAAGCGTTGTTGCTGTGTGACGTCACCACCGGGCAATGGTATAAACGGGCCCCCAGCGACCAGACCTTCACTCCGCTCTCGGCCTCGACCTTTCCGGTGCTTCATCCACGCAGTGCCGTCTTGGGCCTCCGTTCCCTGCCGCTGCATCACCTGCAACTCATCTCGCTCTTCCAACGCACTCGAGACACGCTGTCCCCATGAATGCCGAGTACCATCGACGTCTACGCCTCGACGACTATCGTACCTTGGACGAGTATCTCCGCGAACGCATCCGACGAGGGTTGCAAGCCCATCACGATCACACCGAGATGCTCCTTCACCTGCAAGATCAATACCGAGAGGCTTACAAACGCTACGTGCAAGAACTCGCGCAACGCGATCGACCCGAGCGATGAAAACAATAAAACCTATGTTTTAAAAATCTGAGGGTTGATCATTGACTTTTGCAAAAGTGAGCGGGACCCCAAAGGGGGTCCCTGATAAAAATTAAAGGGAGGCGTGGGTTTAGGCCTTGGGGCGGCGAGGGCGGAGTCTCTTCAACCAGTCGCGTTGAGCCCACACGTTGGCCACACGCCGCATCTTTTTTCGGTAGGCCCGCTGTTCCCGCTGGTACTCCCGCTCCTCCTCTTCCTCTTCATCCCCACACTCGTGACCCTCCCCGCAATAGTGGCAGTACACAAAAGGCCACTCGACTGCCTGGTTGGGGCGGATGTAATCGTCCTCGCCAAAGGTAGCCCTGAACCAGCGATAGAACCGGGCGTCAGCGTCTCGGGCAAACATCGTGCGCATCAGGCGCCGGTAAAAATACCCCGTCACGGGTCGCAACAGGTTGCCATGACGAGGCACAGAAAACCCCTTGAGGTTGATGATGCACTTGCGTTTGGGGCACCGGGGTAAATAACGCATCTCCTGGCGCACTTGCCACCACCCACTCGCATCGCGTTCCTCCACCGTGGCCAATCGATACAGTCTCGCAATCATCTCGTAAATCTCGTCCGGTAACTCGGGTAAATCGTCGGGTACGACTGGTAAAGAGTCCGCCATCTTTGAACAAAGACTCACTGCAGACAACCTGAGTCGGAACCGGTCCCACCTCTTATACGCTGGGTCACGTGCCTTCCCATCCTCCCCGTTCGACCCCCCTCGAAAAAAGAGGGGGGATGGGGGGGTATCCCCCCTCCTTAGAGACCCTTCCCAGAGGGGCTTGGCGCCCCCCTCTGAGAGGTCCATATAAGAGACCCTCCCATCGACACTACACCTCGATGCTGATCATGCTGTTATCCGGACCGATCTCCGTCTTCTCCTTTGCGTTCTTTTGGGTAGCCATCCTGCTCCACACCCAAGTGACCCACCTGCACCTCGATGGCCCCCAAGGCGTTCAGCAAAGACTACCTGCTCGACAAGTTAGACGAATTGTGGGTCCTCCGAGAAAACATGCACGTGGAATTAGATTGGTCGTACGAATGCAGGCTCGACCAGTTGAAAAAGAAAGTGTTGCGCCAATTGATCGACCCCCACGAGATGGAAAAGCAACGACTACAGTACGAATTCGTGTATACCACGTGCGTCCAAAACTTGGAGACCTCCCACGAAAACCTGAGCGTCCTACAAAGCACCGTCGAGTACTTGTGCGAACAATCGCCGTACGATCATCCCAGCACCCACGCGCATTTCCAGGACGTGGTGGACAACCTGCAGTTGCAAGAAGACGGGCTCCACAAGGTACGAGACCACATCCGCGCCGGCATCTGACACCAGCACCCAGCCCCACCACCACCACGAGTTCGGATCGACGTGCCCGCCTGTACCATCGTCTGAAGATCAGACTCCACTAGGGACGCCCCACACCACTAGGGTCGGGCACACGTTCCCGCTTGTAACACGTTAGGGTTCATGCCTTGTACAATAAACTTGAGTTTGAACACCTTTACAAAAACATGCGTTTATTTTTTTTTCCTTTTTTTGAATTCCCTAGGGAATACCCACGTGACTGTCCGGGGGGGAACCTCGACCTTGCCCCACCCTAGGGTTAGGGTCAGGACCCAGGGGAACACCGTTTACCCCCCCAAAACCCAAGTTTAGGGTGTGCGCATGCGCCCTCGCGAATGGAAGTGTTCCCACATGGATGAGACTTCAAGTTCGTCTACTCATATAAGAGCCCTTAGGGTTAGGGTTAGGGTAACAGGGCTCGGTTAGGGTTAGGGTTACAGGGGCCACACTATAACGTGACACCCTTTTACAACACGTCATCACCCCTATGACGTCACTCATTCACTAATGAGTGATTGACAGCTCATTAGCGTGTTTAAAGGGACCATTAAATCACTAATGATGATTGACAGGTCACATGATCTCGTTCTGCACGCTGATTGGTCCATTTGGGTCACGTGACCTATATCCGGCTTTCTGATTGGTCGAGCCCGTAGTGTCCCCTCTTACTACTGATTTGCCACTTTATATTATAATGCAGGGGAGGGGTTCCATCAACCCCCGCCTCCCCCCCTACCCCTTGTACCACGGTGGGGGTATGACTTTGCGTGTACACCCGAAGGTTCAGTGCGTGTTTAGTTTACAATATATAATAGCCTTACGTTTGCGTTGATTTGCCTTCGTATTGAAGTCAGACTTTGAGCTAATATCACGCTGATGATAAGGTCGCGCTTCTCTTATCTGGTCTCAAGGATTCATTACTCCGCGCGTAAAAGTAAACAAAAACAAGCAAATAAACAGAGGTTTTTTTTTGTCTTGATTAATAACAGAAGCATTATGTTCTTTACCTTTGAGTTCCTATGTCTTAGTTATTTCGTTTCTTTTGTTTTTTGTTTTTATTCGATATATGCTGTGTATCAGGCGGTCAACTGTTGAAACATCCAACACTAAAAACACGGTAACACACCAATGGGCTACGAAATGGCCCAGTAGTACCTTCTTGAAGCTGAAAGTGACTCAAACAAGGTATGGGGGGATATATGGCGTACAAATCGGTGACAGTCACTGCGCTCATCTAATTGACGAAAAAGAGATCCGGAGGTCATTCTGCCCCTTGGAACCAAAACATCTTATATCTGTAATCGGAAACGTCAAATCATACAGTTTTGGTGCTTTATAAGCAAAAAATGAAGGCTGATAAAAATTAATCAGACTGGAGCATTCTGTTATTTACCCGATCAGATGAAAAACAGTTGTAACCTAGGCCGAGGATGGGGGATGGGGGGAGAGGGTGATGACCAATTAAAAAAAAACTTGCAGCATCGGAACTATTTAAAAAGCCTCAGCGAAGGGACAGGAAGAAGTGGCTTGTGGTTTCCTAATCAAATATTGACCTCGGAGGTCAGTGTTTAAGGGGAAGAGTTTTTTTCAGAAAGCTTTTTTACATCTTGGACATCAACAGTCACAGTAATACTTCAGTCTCGTTTACTTTATATTTAGTAATACAACATAACAAGGCTGAAAGTTACGTCAGAAACTGAACACTGTATCACGCAACTTGCCCAGATTA